TCCTGTTGCTTGATCAAATTTAAATGGTCTAGAACGCTCACTAAGACTGACGAAATCTGGTTTAGAAGGTAAAAAGTGGTGCGATGCACCTGTATCACATAGTGAAGAAATTTTATTGGAACTAAATGCATACATGGCAGCTATGGCAGTTCCTTCGGAGTCTGAGTCACTACTGCAATTACTAGCAAGAGCTCGAGCTTTTCCTTTTCCTTTCCAATATTTGTGTCCCTGATAACTACGGCGTGGTCTAGCTAGCTCTGGATGCTATTTAAAGCACTCCTTATTCTTGTGCTTGTGTCTACATCGCGTGCATGTGTCATCTAGATCGTTTTTATCATCTATCTCGGCCTCAGCTGCTGGAGTTATTCGATGCGTTATATGAGTCCTATTTGTAGCAACAGCTCTGAGCGATGACATCATAAATTCAAGACTGGAGTACTTGTTGTCGCTTTCAAGAGACTTTGAGTCTCTCCAATTATCTAACCATCCTACCCCTTTAGTGCCAAGTGTAAATAAAACTGCAGCCTGTCCTGGAAGAACCGCATACTGTGACGGCTTGTGAGCCGATAATTACCTGTAGCCTACGCTGTCCAACGTAGGCTTAGCGTTACACTAGGCGGAGCCTATTCTCGGAAGTAGGGGCTTACAAGCGGCAATATCAATATTGTATAGCTTCCGAGAATGAGGCGCAAGAGTGGGATTCGAGAGCGGATGTGCGGATATACGGGTAAACGGATAGAAAGCCGTGTCATTGGCTGGGATAATAATCATGTATAAAGTAGCTGTTATTATCCTCTTCGATCTATAGTTCACCATAGATTGAAAATAAACTACCTCTGACCATAAGGTTGCCCAAGTGCCTATGCTTAGACTGTAACACATATTCAGACTATTCAGGATCCAAGATTGATGGTGTTGAGACTTAATATATACATTATGATTACGGGGTAAATACTATATGGGTCACATATTTACCTGACTGTTACTGGTCACCAGTTGGGCAGGAAGTCTGCATGACATGTTGTATTATGGAAGATCAAGGTCACGTGATTGTGGCCTTCGGATATTAAATAGGAGGCGGGAAGACAGATCACTCGCTCTGTTCAGAACACGAGTAGAAGATGTTAGTATTGGCTCTACAGAGCTGGATCACTCGTGGACTATGAATGGTGTATATATGACTGGATATGTGTATTGTAATTTTGTTAAGTCTTTATTAGTATAACAATTGTTATTTTATCCCAACAGATGGTATAGAGACAAGAGCATCAGCTGCACTGTTTACACTCTGTAGGTTTGATTAGAAACGATCACAGTTCTCGTTTGCTGATCTAGCAAACCTTTTTAGAGGATTATTTCAAGGGCTGATGCATATGGTGCCGCTGCCGATTCTGATCGAGTTTTTGCCACTTCCCACAAAATTGCTTAGCTGTATATTTTTCATACGTACGGGAACACACGCTATCGCTTAATCGATCAATTATAATGTTTCTAGCCTCGATTTCACCTATTTTCCATGCTGCTCTGTCTGCTCTATACCTTGCCACTAATTACTGGTACTGCTGAGGTGTCTGCTCCGCACTCTTGACTGGTGGTGCCTGAGGAGCAATTGCTGGTTCTATTTCTTCGATGTCATGGAAAACATGTCCGAGAAGATTTCGCTTGGCAAGCTTTGCCCAAAGACAGCTATTCCACTTCGAGAAAGAGATGACCTCACCTAGCACATGTCTCCCATCCTTTACCATATTTCTTAGATTACCACTGAGTCTTACTAAGTGCCGCAGTGGAAGAGGCCGGACTCATAACCCGCTGTAATTAAGGTATGAGTAGGTATGAGACGTTGAATATTCTAGGGATAGTGTGGAGGGCGGATAACGGTTATCAGAGCTTGACGATATGATGAATAGCTTAGTTATATTGTTCTACATATCACAGTAGTAGATAGGACTGATATACAAATATTTGGTACCCGCTATACAATACATCACCGTCTATGCAAGAGGTACTACAATGTTAATTCCATGCAATACTATCCCAAATTACTCTATGCCATTGTATAGAGCTGCGCCTCAATAGTCGATCGTAATGATGGCCATGTAGGGCTGTGCAGTACTCGCTTAGATGTGTTGTGTCCCTGGCACTTAGCACTTGGCAGAGATAAATTTAGAGTAAATGCAATAATCACATCACAACACCAAGTTGTCTTTGGGGCCGGAGCCTGGGTTTCCGTAGGGTTAGGTACCCTAATTTCTGGAGCCCTCGGTGGGAGAGGGTTGGCGGGGCGGGCAGGAAGGACTGGTGGTGTGCTTCTTGGACCGGATTGAACAAATTGGCCAATGGCTGCTCGTAGGTAGGCTTTAATACCGTCTACGAATTCTTTATTTTCGCCGATCGAAAGAGGCGAAAATGTTGCTTCAACACTGTTTATCGCAGTCGAGCAGATGGCGAGGCGGGCCGTAATTTGCGTCGTACGTCGCTTTTCGGCCTCCATCACGGTTTGCAGCTCCGGAGGAAACTCCATAGCTGATGTCGATGCTGAGCCTTTTGAGGCTGGCACAGCATTTTTTCCTATAGACGATTCTGCAGGCTCGGTCGTTCTTTCTCTGACGACCTCCTTTCCTTTCCTGGAGCTGCTTGCCACTGGGGCCAGCTCGACGGGGTTTTTGGTCTTTGGACCAATGTTTTCTGCTCTGATCGGTTCAGAATCAGTCATCTCTTGATCGGGAAGATTTGTGGACTTCCCTGGGACAAAGGCCTCACTTGCAAATAGGCTTGATAATTTTTGCGCGAGACCAGTAGGTTTTGGACACAATGGTGTCCGTTCAAAGCCGACTGAAGTTGTCCGCTTTGGGCGATTTTTTCTCACCGGAGACATTTTAGATACCTCGCGACGGTTAACAATTCGAGAAGTCAAGCACAGAAGTGATCATAGGAATGGAAAATGGGAAGAAGGGAATTTTCGAATTTCTCGAATTTTGCGTTTTTTTGATTGTGGGTGTTATTTTACGTCTAATTAGAGTGAGCCTTAGCCCTTTGCTTTAAACACCCCACCGGGTAAAGGACGCCAGAGCTTACTACTCTAGTTGCCTCTTGCCCTCCTGGTGCACAACAAGTATAGTGCGAGGCTTCAGAATCAGGCAGTACCATTGATTACTGGAGCCTACCAAGGCAGTCCTGTCAAGGCTTTGGAGGTTGAGGCCTCCATCTTACCAACAAAAGTACGGCATGAGAAGCAGGTTATTTACTATGAACTAAGGATACTTCGACTTCAAAGGGACCACCCTATTCAGGAGCACCTCTTTAGTCCTCTAGAAGATGAACTGTCAAGCACCAATCAGATTGACCTTGGACTGTTAAATTACATCAACAAGCCAGCAACCCAGTTGATGAGGATTGGGAGTACTCTTAAGCCATTGGCTTTTCTGAACAATTTGGAGCAGCTAAATACCCTTTGGGTTCCACCGTGGAATCAAACTGACATTCACACTTCTATCTCTAATTGCTCTAAGGCTACAACTAAAGTATCCCACATCCAGCAAATCAAAAATATCCATTTGGAATATGTCATAGTTTACACAGATGCATCACTTTCAGAGGGAGTAGGGAGCAGCATAGGCTTTGTAGTGTAATTGCCTTTCACCAGAGAGTTGAAATGCTTCTCCTACCATCTTGGTGATGCAATGGGTATCACAGATGCCGAAACCTATTGTATTTTAAGGGCTACCCAATATATGAAGAGATATTTTGCAAAAAATATTATACATTGTTTAATGACTTAACGATCAAATGATCAATATGTATTTCCTTAGAACTAATGACTAATTGTGTTGATGAGTAATGAGGTACCCGTTTGGGAATGGCGTTAGGAGACGGGGGTTTTACGGTTTATAGATGTTTTTCTTCAAGGAAGACAGGGGGGAGATAGATCATTTCATACGTACCATAATTGTTACTGCTACATCAAGCTTGTGATATCAATTACCACCGAAGTATTCCGACATACATATTTTCACTGATAGCCAGGCAAGTATTCTGCGAATCCAACACAATAGTAATCAGTTCTCTCATCAGATCAGAATGATATGTCAAGGATGCAAAGTTCACCTACACTGGTGTCCAGCTCATGTTGGCATAGAAGGCAATGAGCTAGCTGACAAGCTGGCCAGAGGAGGTGGAAAGAAACAGGCCATGAAAAGGGATCAGTATACCTCTCACTCCTTCATCAAGCATAAGGCGAGAGAATGGGTGCTAGAAGCATGGCAAAAAGACTGGGACTTGGAGCTATGGCACGAGGAGGAGGGCCGAAAGGCCAAAGGACTTGGCAAGTACTACAGGCTCCAGGCTCAGACTAATCATCCAAAATTTTCTTACATACTAGATGGATTTCAAGGACACAGTAGGGAGACAGAATCCGGATTTTTCCAGGCCAGGCTAGGAGTAGGCAATAACAGGGTCTACTTGCACATGATAGGAAAGGTTCAAGATAAGTCATGTAATTTTTGTGGAAAAGAAAGGCAAAATGTGCCGCACCTGTTGTTACACTGTCCAAAATTCAAAGACCAGAGAAGCAGATGCTTCAAAGGCATAGAGCCAAGAACACTTCCGACCTTGTTTTGTACAAAAAGAGGGAAGGAAGCATTATTAACATATTTGGATACATCCAAGTGCATGGCAGCACATAAAGGGAGTTAAATTAGGACTAATAATTGGGAAATGTTAAATTTGGAATGAAGGGGTAATGATTTATAAGGAGGGGAAGGCTAGATCTATGTATTTTAAATGTGTCATAGCTAGATAGCTGAATATACTGTGAATTAAAAAAAAAAAAAGTATAATGCGAGGAGCTATTGTGCTGCGCTGTCATGTGACTGTTGTGCGTGTATAATATGGATTTGTCCGCCGATTTGCGACTCCATCAGTTCCCACATTCCTCACTTCATCTTGGACATGTAACTATCAGTCCACAACAAATTGCCCCTTCTACGCCATCATCTTGTGATATGTCTCAATATTCAGAAATTTTCGCTGGTCAAAACAAGGTCTCAATCGAACACATTTTCAAGCAGTTTCGTAACAACTACGTACCAGAGGATAAAAAATATAGTATTATTCACCTACAATCTAGGTAACTTCAGCTAACGGAATAGATGTCCTGAAATACTTTGACGATCTATATAAATACACGTATCATTTAGATAATAATGACATGTTCAAACTAAGTGACTTGTTTCGTGATACCGAGACGGCAATTCAAAAGAATCTAGTTGCAATTAAAAGATTTGATCAACTAATTGAGGACATTTTAGATGATGATGATTTGAGTCATATAGTAGATAATACCATCCGCATAGCTGAAACCACGTGTCACGATGTGACTCTCCTTCAAAGCAGTGGACAACTTCTATCGACATTAAGTACCTGCGCTAAGACCATCAAGCGAGACACATCAGAGGCATCAGGTTTTGATAAGACCGCAGCTTATCTCGCCAAAGCTGTTCAATCCGAACTTCAAGACAATGTTTTCTCGGGTATCTCAAACTTCTGGGATGTGTTTTTCGAAGGAAAAGCTTGGTCCAAGCAGACCTCACGCATTTGGGAGTGTTACACATCTTACGAAAAAGCCGAGGAATGTGAAAGAACGAGAACAAATCAGAGTATTATAACTTTGAAAGAAGAAATGACGGAGACACAAGTGTGGGAATGGCTTGATTTTTTCAGGGAGAAATTTTTGAATCAGCTAAATGGGCCCATAGAAGAACCATTGAAGAACTGCGAAGTCATGTTAGAAACGAATACGCCCCGACTGCGAGCGCAGTACTGCAATACCAAAGTTATGAAAAGCACAATCAGAACGGCAGCTGACGCTCAAGCTGACTTCGTTATTCGAAGTGGCGAGCTATCTGGGGATAAGCCACAATGGGAGGATGTGAGAGTGGTCGCCGAGTTCACGAAACAGACCGATTCAAGTGCAAGGAAAGCAAAATTCACTCAACTATCTAGGTATGTGCGCGAAATATTTTGTGCGCAGCCCTTGCGGCGATTTGTACATTGCTTTTTCTTCTTGAAAACAAAATTTGAGCTCTGGGTATTTGATCGTACTGGGGCCTACAGCTCGGGCTTAAAAAGCATTGTCAGCGAAAAGGAGATGTTCGTACGAGCAATAAGCTCGTATTTGCTAATGAGCGATGAAGAACTTGGCCTCGACTTGTCTACCAGCAAGGTCGGCGAAAATTTATTTGTCACAATAAATGGAATTAATGATGATCCCACCATGCAATTTAAGATCGACCCTGAGCCGATTGTCCGACCACAGAGACTGATTACTCGAGGTACTACCTGCTTCGAGACCGTTGACAAACTATCAGTTGTCAAGTATGCATGGACCAGTGTGAAGGGGTGTTCGGAAATCGACTTTCTTAAAGTCGCACTTCCAGTACGCGGCGTTGTGAACTATATAACGTCGGATGAAGTCTATCGGACCAGCGAACACTTGGGAAATCTAGATTTTACCGATGCTGACGCTTGGGACTTGAAGACAGAGACGCTGATCATATCAAGGGGTACGCACCTGATGCAACCGACAGTCAGCCCATGGGACAGAGATCGCAAACTCATCAGGATTGCTATCACACCTCGTGGTCAACCCCTGAATACCAGCAAGACGACCCTTGAATTTATTGTTGGAATTCGGGATGCAATCTTGGGCCACCGACGCCTATATGATCGGGGAATTCTACACGGCGATATCTCGGAAGGCAACATTGTCTTGACATCACCAAATGCAGGTGATGAATCAAAGGGGATGTTGATTGATCTGGACCACTCCGTCGGGCTGATCGAAAGTTTGAAAACGGACGATGAACTGTCTCTAACAGGCACCATGAAATTCATGGCAATCGAGAGATTACAAGTTGCGGTAGACAATGAGCCTACAATCCAGCGTACCATTCGGCACGACTTGGAATCCTTCTTCTATGTATTCCTTGTAGGATGCATAGAATATGAAGTTGTCCCAGAGTCCAAATCACGTAACCTTGACAGCTGGTGCACAAGAGATGTAGCGAGTAACTATACATCGAAGGTAGGTTATATTGGTGTTTTCGAAGTTTTGGTTTTGAAGAATTTCACACCCAGCTTTTTGGGCCTGAAGGACCTAGCAAGCAGCCTAAAAACGATTTTATTTGGTGAGATAGGCCAGAATTATACGACACCTTATGACTGTAGCTCTATGTATGAAGAAATAATTGGGGCGTTCAATAAAACTATCCAGCAGATTACAGGTAAGATAAATTTGCGATTAAGCAAGATTGTAATACCCATTGACACAAGCCTCACTGACAAATCTTCAATTACTCAGATCGATCAATCTTAAATAATACTTTCAAACCACGAAAACGATAGGGCATGGCATGAGTGGGTCACGGAAAAATATTTAATTATTTCTTCTACAAGCAGTGAGGTTCCAATGTGAGTTACAGGATTGGTCTTTGTATTCTATTGAATCTACCATCAGACGAGAATGTAGTTGTGATTGCTTTTAGAAATTAGCATATAAAATCTTAACTCAAGCCTTTTTGAAACAGTGAGACGCTGCTGGAGTAGACTAGGTGTGCCGTCTAACCGTATTTTTCAAGTATGTTTTTGTGAAATAATCAAATTTATTCATGAATATCTTTCAAGGCTTTAATATCAAAATTGTGTTAGATATTCAAATCAATTGGGCTATCAAATAGATATCAGAAAATCCCGCAATGTCAATATTTCGGTAAAGTGAAAGTTGTCCAAATCATCAGGAGATGTTATGACTTTAGAATTCCGCACCCACTGAATCACATATACTTACTTTATTCACGATATATGACCTTCTTTTTAATCTCAAACTCGTCTCACGAAACGATATAAGGGGATAGGAGTTGGATGGTGCTGTGGTATACCATTCGGGCCGTTCGCCCAAATTAGAACAGGGTTGCTTGAACACTAATCCCATTCGAGTCAAGGGGTTTTGAGTTTTTGAATTTTTATTATACTACGTGAGCCTATGACTATCTAGCACATTGGGCTCCTCTCTGACCCAGGCCACACCTTGTACAGTGCTCCTTGCCTCTTTTGTTACTTGTAAGATCATTAATATATTGCCCGTAATGAATAGCAATTCAGTTCAGTGTTTACCCGTGGAATTGGGCCACCTTTTCCACGGAACCTTCTACCCAAAAAAAATAAAAATGGTAGCAATGGAAACTGCGTGCGCGGTAAAAAGTCTCAAAAAACCTGCAGCCCCAGCCGGGCGAGGCCTAGATACCGGGTACACATGAGGTGCGCATATTCATCTATATCTCCCTTCTTTGTAACAGTCAAGGTCGATTTGATCCAATCCGCCATCTCCGTATCGGGTGCTGGGTACGCTCCGGAAACTCATCGGATGGCTTTTCCTCCATGATCAAGGGTTAGTAATGAGTAGGGATCCGACCCTATTATCTGGTGTAATCGTGGTTAGCTTCATGATAATGGTGATAGGGGAATGTGTTGAGAGATGAAGACGATACAGACGGCGAAAGCGATTGGGAATCCTCGTCGCAGTGAGGACTTTGTTACTTTATCTCGGCTCTGCAGACTCTGCAGTCAGAGCTGTAGGTTCGTAGTGGACACCACTGACAGGTGTTGAGAATAGTCCCCTTCGAGACAGGAGAAAGCTGGTTCGAATCCAGTCAGACCCATACACCACTCTCTCTCGCGGTGGTATTGTACTTGTGGGATGATGAAAGCACACTAGGATAGCCACAGATTTCTCCCGCTTTTCCCTATGGTGGATATGCATGGAAGAAGTTATACGCCGTAAAAGTTAACATCGAGTGGTATCTGCAGACGAAATCTGAGTGCGAGTGTTCTAAACTTCAAATTGAGTCATCCTACTTAGAGTACATATCTTCCGATAAAAAACCTGCATGGGCCTCAAGGCGCCAAATCAGGCAAAATGAATTGCACATAACAGGGGTTAGAACGAAGGTTATTATTAACAAACAAATCTTGCAGGCCTGAGTAGGGAAAGGTAACGTAACAGCGAACTATAGTGCCTCTGTGATATAAAATGTTAACCTCAGAACTGGGATGTTTAAGGGATTAGCCCTGTAGGCGCAGTTGGGCTAGCTCGCAATAGGTTAGTATGTCTCTCCTCCTTGCCCCGCTCGCCATGAAGTATGGTCCAATCATCTTCTTCAGGCAATCGGTTAGAGAAACACATTTTCAACTACATTTTTGGCTGCCGAAACTACGTACCACTATCCATCCATCCTATTTTCTAGCAAACAATGTCTCTCCAAAAGTCTGCTTCGGAAACCATAATTCGCAAGCATCTAACCCGCAATTAATGTATTGAAAAAGGAGCATTAAGAAGATTTGGCTTGACATTACAACATATATCTGACGAACTTGGCTTCGCTTCAAGGCAAGTGCAACTTGCGTGTGCTCGAGAGACTGAGAATCCTACGTCTTGCAAAGGGCCCTTACCAAAATTAAGGGCGGAACAAGTTGGTGAGCTTGCGGCTTTCGTCCGGGAATCTCCTTAATCGACAGATGTGCTATTTGGAACTAGCAATGGGACCCTTCAGCCACTGGGGATGCAGTGAGGGTTTGATTTCTAATGCACTCAAAAATAGAGGTTACAGCAGATGCATTGCTCGGAAAAAGCCTCCGTTAAGCGCGGTGAACAAGTAAAAAAGAATAGAGCTCGCCCAATTACATTTAGATCGGAGAGATGAACAATGGAGTCGCATACTATAGACTGATTAAACCTGGGTATCGGGTGATTCTCATATGAAACCTCGTATCACAAGAAAAGTACGTTTTAATTCTATCAAAATCTTCCTTATACTAACAGCAGAGACTAGCCTGATGAGATTAATGAGACTTGTATTGTAGCTCGCCATGCTCATGGGTACAGTTGGATGTTTTGGGGATCATTTTACGGATCACAAAGAGGCCCATTCCTAGTCTGGGAGAAGGATTTGGGATCAACGAGGTCCTCATCCTTTTGTGAAAGAATTTTGCCACTTTTGAATCAATTTCACTCGGAAAATCCAAAAATCCTATACATGCACTACAACGCACCATGTCATAAAGCGTACTCAACAATTGAGGCGCTGCGTGAAGTTGGAATAACGCCTATTAGATGGCCACCTTACTATCCGGACTTGAACCCAATCGAGTCATTGTGGAATGTCTTCAAAAACCACATTCAGGTAAATAGTCCTGAGATAAATGAGGTCAGGCTTGTGCGCTCTGCCACGTTGAAAACATTGCTGCAGGCCGCATGGGACTCCATACTTTCTGAGGAGCTATTTTCACTAGTTGGCAGCATGCACGAAAGATGTATAGCAGTGATAAAGGCAAATGAAGGGTACACAAAGTATTAGGATGGAGAAGACTAACACAAAACATGTAGTACGCTTCCATTTTAGTGGCGAGCTATACTGAGGGCTGCGATGTAGACTTTTTTAATACAGGACAATAATTTTTGAAATAGATGTGCATTTTTAGAGAATATAAATTGATTTTTTTCTAATTTTTAATTTTAAATGAGGACCAGTGTACTTTTCTTTTGGTGTCGAAAACCGTCACCATTTATTTTGACTTTCACAGAATATCATTGGATAGTACCCCTTGTTTGCATAACTAGTCGAGTAACTAGACGTGGGCCTGCATGAAGACCTTACCAATTAAGGCAATTTGTACATGGATCTAACCCCAGTCATTTTGATAATTGTACGTTTGCCATCCATAACAGACTGTAATAAAGCGTAGTCTACAGACTAGTTGCCTTCTTCACGCATCGTCTGCTCCATATTATTCTCATGCCTGATATTTTGAAATTGGCGCTACCTGGTAATGAAGATTCCCTTTTTTTTTTTTTTTTTTTTTTTAAATCATTTAATGTGTATTCAGCTATCTAGCTATGACACATGACCGGCGCTATGTATACATGTGGGATGACTCTTTTGACGTTAGAGACACTCATACTCTGGATTTCATTCGCAAATACCATTATGAGGTATGTTCGCTTACACAAACAGTCGACCCTCCTCCGTTAGTACCCACCAAGGGGAATTTAAAAACCTTTGGTTGTCCGAGCATGCCTTCGTCATCCATGCATACCAGCGCCGCGAGAAATGTGGTTATGTTTTGCCGGATTCGAACCAGCAATCTACTGTCTCGAGTTGGAAATGTATCCAAGCTGTCCAGACTCTACTTGGCAGACCGGCCAAGACGATGTACCACCGCACCATCCAACCATGGCGGTGTTTATAGTGTCGCCTGCACTCTCGCATCCGAAGACTTGGCACGCACAAAGCTCAATTTGTAAAAACTCCTCTCCAAATTTCAAAATTCCACGCCCGTCGAGGCTTTATCCATCCTTCGCATCATCTTATGAACTTGTCCTGATTCCTCACACATCCATCCCAAAGAACAGTCTCCCAGATTTGTGCGCCACGCTTTGCTTCCTCCGTCGGGTGTAAATATCGGCATGGGCGTGTATCTGGCGACCAGCTAAGGCCAGAGAAAGTCGACAAGAGGTGTGGTCATTGGGATTAGGATGTACTAGGTCGTACTTGTAAACTTGATGAGCTTTAGGTAGGAATCGATTTCGTTGGGAGTGAAAGCTTGATATGGTGGAGTAATTTGAATCATTGCCTCGTGGGCCAACTTGTTCGGTATTGCGAAGTTTGACTGAACTTGGCTCTAGGAGAATATTTCACTCCCAGGTTCGTAGAGGACACCACGTACAGGTGTTCAGTCTTGCCCTCCAATGAAGATTCCCATTAGCATGGAACGTATTAAGGTTCGAACATTACTAGCTATAATTATGGCGACTCATCCATTGACATAGTAGAGCGCATCGATTCAAGCAACTGTGGATCCCGGATAGATCTACAGGGCACGAATTAGCTAGATGTAGGAAACACGGCACACACACGTAATCGTAATTATCCTATGACCTCACGCGCAGCAAATCGCACTGTCAGAGCCCGCGACCACAGCAGTAGATCTACTAGCGTGAGGAGTAAGGAGTAATCAATGTATATAGACACATAGACATCCGATACTTGAAGGACATAGAATTCACGTATTTGTCTCAAGCTCTACAAAAGATCCGTTGTAGTTAGGAGCCACGAGACACCACGTGATATCACCACAATCTTACACCCACACCCATTGTATACTAAGTATACAACGCGCGCTAGGAACCTCACAACTACCGAAGTGAAACTAAGTACAGAATTTGTAGTCAAGTGTGTATCAACAACGTGGCCTACTTGATAGCCCCAATGTTTGGATTAGAATAGAGTCAGGAATAGACAGAGATGCTCGGATATATCTCAGGCTACTGTTTCTCTTTAGAGTATAATCCGAAGGTCTATGATCCAAAGTGTGAGAGGTTCAGTTTTGATACATGTGTGTTAAACTGTTACATCAGTGCATGCTTATCAGTTACATATCTCAGGGGTGTAGATGCATGGAACATGTTTGGCATAGGAAAACACTACCAGCGAGAACATCGACGTAACATTCTGTAAACAAGACTGTAACTAGATCTAACTTGACAATTAAGTCCTGATGTGTTGCTAAGTGGATGGGTGTGATGGGCGATCAACAAAACAATATAGTAAAGGAATGGTGGCCGATTACTGTCTATTTTCTACATACATCTCGGAACTGTCCACCGAGGGGAGGCTACTTAAGGTGTCCCAACTCCCAATGCGCTAACCTCACTATCTATTTTACTACACCATATCCTTGATATTCCGAGTGGGCTCGTCATAGCAAAACTGGGTCGTATCGGCCCATGATTCCATATGAGACTTGCTGCAACAATATCTTGTTTCCATATTTGTTGCAGCCCTGCATTTGTATGGCCAAGTTGGACATCTCTTTAAATAGCAAGGCTAATGACGTAATAATGATAAGTGTCCGTGCGACAGTCACTAGGAGATAGGCGCAGCCTGTAACAATGGGTAACGTATGGATACCTTGGATAGATAGTTTATAAGTGACCTGGACGGGAAGTGAGAACAAGCAGGTTCTACGCAGAAAGCATATCATTTAATATAATAAATCATCTTTCATGTACATCTACATCTACACTTATTATATTTTCTTTGGAATACTCAACTTATATTTACACATATCGACATACGACAATCCATAATTATTTTATGCCTTTTGTCCGAGATTACAAAGTCGATAACCGAATTATTCTAAATTCTATCAGCTAGTAATATTCGAACCTTAATATGTTCCATGCTAATGGGACTCTTCATTGCCAAGAAGCGCCAATTTCAACATATCTGGCACGAGAATAATAAGGAGCAGACGATGCGTGAAGAAGGCAACTAGTCTGTAGACTACGCTTTATTTTGTACATGCTCGTAGTTCACTGTTACTTTACCTTTCCCTCCCCAGGCCTGCAAGATTTGTATCCTAATAATAGCCATCATTCTAACCCCTGTTATTGTTTCGTGAAACGGTTGTTGGATAATAAGGAGAGTGTCGATTTATCTAAAACGTAAAAGTAGATGTGTCATCATTTGGGGATCACATGATGACCTTAGTATAGGTGTGCACCGCCGTTTCCAACACCTCGAAGCCCTCTTGATAGACGTGAGAGGGATCAGGACAAGTTTACAAGATGATGCAAAGAGAGGATATTACCTCGAAGGGCATGAAATTCCGAATTTTGGCAAGGAGTTTTACGAATTGAGCTTTGTGCGCGCAAAGACTTCGCTTGCAAGAGTGCAGCTAACACTATAAACACAAGCCAACAATGGAAGGTGTTGTGATCCGCCATCTGGTGGTATTCTCTGGTTTAGTTTGAGTAGTCAGGGCACCTACTCCACTTGGGAAGGAGACATCTCAGATTACGTTTCGCGCGGTGAAAAGTTGATGGATGACAGAGGCATGTCTGGATAACATAGAGTTTTTGAGACGTTCCCTGGGTGGGTATTAACGGATGAGGGTTGACTTGGGTGAAGAAAAAGCCACCATAACTTTGCAGTGGTACTTGCAAATGAAATCTGAGGTATGAGAACTCTTCCCTTATATTGAGTCATGTACTACGTACAATTCTTTGATATTGTGTCATAGCTAGATAGCTGCATACACAATTCAAATCTGATGCAAAAAAAAGCCTGGGGAAATGAAGATAGCTTGGCTATGAAAGAGAAAGGGAAAACTACAAGGAGATCTATATACATGATGCGTAGGTGTTCGCTTAGTAATGCCAAGGCTTGATCGGCATTCATGTCACGTGTATGTTTGTGGTGCTCAAGACCGACATTCCTACAGTGATTGTACGCATGGAGTCATTAGGGCATAATTTTATTTCATAAAACATACTAGAAAAAAAACGGATAGACGGCACACCTAGTCTACTCCAGAAACGTCTCCCAGTTTCAAACAGGCTTGAATTCAGATTTTCCATTCTAATTTCTAAAAGCAATCACAACTACATTCTCGTCTAATGGAAAATTCAATAGAATACAAAGACCAACCCTGCAACTCACATTGGAACCTCATTGCTTATAGAAGAAATAATTAATTATTTTTCCCTGACCCACTCATACCAAGCCCTTGTTGTAATCTAACGCTTTTCATCCTCGGACTTCATGGTGAGCAGTAGTTTTACAGCACGTGATGCCATGCGGGGGAAAAGGAACAGGATGGCGAAAGCCGCTAGCCAGATCTAAGCGATCTGGCCCACTTGCAGATGGAGAAATCCCTTTTGTATATAGACAAGACAACCCTAACTAGTACAACAACAATAGTAAGGAACTCATACATCTGCACCTCAGTTATCTCATGCATCGTGACCCACAAACCTCACTCTCATGTCTATCACTCCACGACAAAGCTTCAACAGCCCTATCGTTTTCGTGGTTTGAAAGTATTATTTAAGATTGATCAATCTGAGTAATTGAAGATTTGTCAGTGAGGCTTGTGTCAATGGGTATTACAATCTTGCTTAATCGCAAATTTATCTTACCTGTAATCTGCTGGATAGTTTTATTGAACGCCCCAATTATTTCTTCATACATAGAGCTACAGTCATAAGGTGTCGTATAATTCTGGCCTATCTCACCAAATAAAATCGTTTTTAGGCTGCTTGCTAGGTCCTTCAGGCCCAAAAAGCTGGGTGTGAAATTCCTCAAAACCAAAACTTCGAAAGCAGCGATATAACCTACCTTCGATGTATAGTTACTCGCTACATCTCTTGTGCACCAGCTGTCAAGGTTACGTGATTTGGACTCTGGGACAACTTCATATTCTATGCATCCTACAAGGAATACATAGAAGAAGGATTCCAAGTCGTGCCGAATAGTACGCTGGATTGTAGGCTCATTGTCTACCGCAACTTGTAATCTCTCGATTGCCATGAATTTCATGGTGCCTGTTAGAGACAGTTCATCGTCCGTTTTCAAACTTTCGATCAGCCCGACGGAGTGGTCCAGATCAATCAACATCCCCTTTGATTCATCACCTGCATTTGGTGATGTCAAGACAATGTTGCCTTCCGAGATATCGCCGTGTAGAATTCCCCGATCATATAGGCGTCGGTGGCCCAAGATTGCATCCCGAATTCCAACAATAAATTCAAGGGTCGTCTTGCTGGTATTCAGGGGTTGACCACGAGGTGTGATAGCAATCCTGATGAGTTTGCGATCTCTGTCCCATGGGCTGACTGTCGGTTGCATCAGGTGCGTACCCCTTGATATGATCAGCGTCTCTGTCTTCAAGTCCCAAGCGTCAGCATCGGTAAAATCTAGATTTCCCAAGTGTTCGCTGGTCCGATAGACTTCATCCGACGTTATATAGTTCACAACGCCGCGTACTGGAAGTGCGACTTTAAGAAAGTCGATTTCCGAACACCCCTTCACACTGGTCCATGCATACTTGACAACTGATAGTTTGTCAACGGTCTCGAAGCAGGTAGTACCTCGAGTAATCAGTCTCTGTGATCGGACAATCGGCTCAGGGTCGATCTTAAATTGCATGGTGGGATCATCATTAATTCCATTTATTGTGACAAATAAATTTTCGCCGACCTTGCTGGTAGACAAGTCGAGGCCAAGTTCTTCATCGCTCATTAGCAAATACGAGCTTATTGCTCGTACGAACATCTCCTTTTCGCTGACAATGCTTTTTAAGCCCGAGCTGTAGGCCCCAGTACGATCAAATACCCAGAGCTCAAATTTTGTTTTCAAGAAGAAAAAGCAATGTACAAATCGCCGCAAGGGCTGCGCACAAAACACTTCTCGTACGTATCCAGATAGTTTGAGGAATTTTGCTTTCCTTGCATTTTTATGGGTCTTTTTCGAGAACTCGGCGACCACTTTCACGTCTTTCCATTGAGGCTCATCATCAGATAGTTCCATACTCTGAATAAGGAAGTCAACTTGAGCGTTGGGTGTCGTACTGATCGTATTTTTCATAAGCTTTGTGGTACAGTACTGCCCCCGTAGCTGAGAGCTATTCTGTTTTAAGAGAAGTCTACAATTGTTCAATGGTTTTGCTATAGGCCCATTGAGCTGGTTCAAAAATTTATCCCTGAAAAAATCAAGCCAGTCACACACTTGTGTTTCTGTCATTTCTTCTTTCAAAGTTAAAATATCCTGGTCTGATATCGTTCTGTTGCATTCTTCAGCTTTTTCGTAAGTCTTATAGCACTCCCAGATGCATGAGGTCTGCTTGGACCAAGCTTTTCCTTCGAAAAATACACTCCAGAAGTTTGAGATACCAGAGAAAACATTTTCTTGAAGTTCAGATTGCATGGCTTCGGCGAGGGTGTCTGCAGTCTCGTTAAAGTCCGATACTTCTGATGTATTTCGCTGAAAGTTATTGGTGTAGGTGTTCGATACCGCTGGAGTTTGTTCACCGCTTTGAAGTAGACTCACATCGTGACATGCGGACTCAGAAAAGCGAATGGTACTTTCTAGTATATGACAAAAGTCATCCTCAACTAAAATGTCCTCAATAAGTTGATTGAATCGGTCAAACTTAATTAGATTTTTTTTGATTGCCATCTCGGTATCACGGAACAAGTTACTCAGTTTGTACATGTTGTCATTGTCTAAGCTATACGTGTATTTGTGTAAATCATCAAAGAATTTCGTAATATCTACCCTGTTAGCTGAAGTTCTCTAGTTTGCAGATGAAAAATACTAAATTTTATTTCCTCTGGCACGAAGCTGTCACGAAACTGCTTGAAAATGTGTTCGATTGAGACCTTGTTTTGACCTGCGAAAATTTCTGAATATTGAGACATATCACAAGATGATGGCGTGGAAGGGGCAATTTGTTGTGGACTGATAGTTACAAGTTCAAGACGAAGTGAGGAATATGGGAACTGATGGAGTCGCAAATCGGCGGACAAATCCATATTATACACACATAACAGTCACATGACAGCGCAGCACAATAGCTCCTCGCATCATCATACTTGTTGTGCACGGGGAGGGCAAGAGGCAACTAGAGTAGTAAGTTCTGGCGTCCTTTACCCGGTTGGGTGTTTAAAGCAAAGGGCTAAGGCGCACTCTAACTAGACGTAAAATAACACAAACAATCAAAAAAACGCACAATTCGAGAAATTCGAAAATTCCCTCTTTCCCTTCTCGTGATCATTCCTGTGCTTGAGTTCTCGAATTGATGACCATCAAAAGGCGTCCTAAAATGCCTCCGATGAAGAGCAAAAGACGAGTCAACCTTTTCTGTCGGCTTTGAATGGAAACACATGTGTCCAAAACCTCCTGGCCTCGCGCAAAAATTATCAAGCTTGTTTGCGAGTGAGGCCTTTGTCCCAGGGAAGTCTTCCACCCTTCCCGATCAAGAGATGACTGATACTGATCCGTTCAGAACAGAAACGAGCGGTCAACAGACCGCGAAATGCGCCGACCTGGCCCCCGAGGCAAGCATGTGGGTCCCGTGTCCCGTGACTTAGGGTCGCACACATTCTTGGACATAACACTTTTATTTTTATTTTTATTTTTTTTTGCATCAGATTTTAATTGCGTATGCAGCTATCTAGCTATGACACAATATCAGAGAAGTGTATGATAGATGACTCAATTTACAAGAAGAGCACTCATGCCTCGGATTTCATTTGCAAGTAACACTGCGAAGTTATGGTGGCTTTTTCTTCACCCCAAGTCAACCCTCATCTGTGAATACCCACCCAGGGGAACATCTCAAAAACCCTGGGTTATCCAGACATGCCTCCATCATCTTTCAACTTTTCTCCGCGCGATATGTGATCTGAGGTGTCTCCTTCCCAAGTGAAGTAGGTGCCCAGGCTACTCAAACTATACCAGAGAACACCACCAGGAGGCGGACCATAACACCTTCCATCGTTGGCTTCTTTTTATAGTGTCAACTGCACTCTCGCAAGCGAAGTCTTGGCGCGCACAAAGCCCAATTCGAAAAACTCCTTGCCAAAATTCAGAATTTCACGCCCGTAGAGGTTTTATCCTTCCTTCGTATCATCATGTCGACTTATCCTGATTCCTCTCAATTCCATCTCAAATAACTGTCTCCCAGATTTGTGCGCCACGCTTTGCTTCCTCCGTCGGGTATAAATATCGGCGTGGGCGTGTATTTGGCGGTCAACTGAGGCCAGAGAAGGTCGAAGAGCGGTGTGGTCATCGGGATGAGGATGTACTTGGTCGTACTTGTAGACTTGATGAGACGAAGATAGGAGTCAAACTCGTTGGGAGCGAAATAACGACATGGTGGAGTAATTTGAATTTTTGCCTCGTGGGCCAACTTCTTTGATATTGCGAAATTTGACTGAACTTGGCTCTGGGAGAATATTTCACTCCCAGGTTCGCAGAGGACACCGCGTACAGGTGTTCAGTCTTGCCCTCCGGACATAACACTTGTAGCTAAAGGAAGGAGGGAGAGAAAACAATATACTTCATTAAAAGTCTTACTTCTAGTAAAAATTGTAAGCAGTTGTTATACGACTCATTTTATATTAGATACGAGACTTGAAGCCACAAAAATAATTAATTTTGTTAGGAAAACCCTCTTGTTCAAGATCTTACGATTTATCCCATTTATCCGATTGAAGACTCAAAGAAGAGAGATAATAATGTCCGGTACATCTAGTGCAGTATTAGCTCGGGAAGCAAGTGTGCAAGGAGACACCACTTGGGGAGTAGACGCCAACGGAACATCGACTTTAAAAGGAATGACCAAGGCTACTCGTGAACGCTTCGATAAGGTTGAAGCAAGCTTAACTGTACTTGATCAGCGCACAATAACAATAGAGAATACCCTCATTGTGATCCTACAGAAACTAGAAAACTTCGAAAGCAGTAATTCTAGACAAAGATATGAAGCTGCGGCTGAACCTGAGAGAGAAGAAGCAGAAATATACCAGGGCAACTATGGTGTAGATGCTGCTAAGGACATTAATGAACCTAGTACTCGCGGCACCTTAGACAAGAAGAAGGTTTATTGTGGATACAATGGCGATCTAAATATGGATGAAACAGAGAGAAACTTCGATGGTAGCCTCAATATTTACCGTTCAGCACAACACCCAGATAGACACTACCGCGCTCCTGGAGCAGACCTTTTGCCGCTACTATCATGGGCTCCATTTGGGCCTACAGTTATTGGCGGAGGTTTCAATGCCGTTCACAACGACTGGCAGCCAATGTTCACTAGGCTACACGGCGACGGCCAGGTGCTCACGGAGTGGATGTTCGAGCACGGTATGGACTTATCTTCCGCACCGGGCGTCCCGACCCACGATCTCGGAAACACACTCGACCTAGTTTGGTCTAACGCTGGCGCACTTGCATATGTTTCGGTAGAGCTTGACTCGACATCGGATCACAGAACTCTTGCAGGAGACGTTCCCCGTCCAAACTCGAAAGCCAGAGCTGTAATTAAAACTGGTCAACCGTTCCGAGTGACAGACGACGCCCTCGAAGACTTTGCCAAGGTGCTTGGTAGATGGACTCATGGAATAGGGCTACAGCCAATGGATTCAAGAATCGCGGTAGACAACCTTGCAGATAAGCTGGTTCAAACCATTAGCGATGCAATCAGGGCTACTGGAAGACGCGGGAGTGCTAAGAAGGGTAGGACGGCACCTTGGTGGACGCTGGAGTACTCACAGGCCAAACGCGAATACAGGACATTCAAGGACGAAGAGAGCAGAAAGGATTTCCGTCGCATAGTCAGAAGTGCGAAACGCCAGTACTGGCGGCGGAAGTTCTCCGAAGCCACAACTGACGCCGACATGTATCGGATGGCCCGCTGGGCAAAGCCGCGACTTACATCCGCTGCTCCATGTCATGAATTTGTTATATTTAATCTGGATGTGGTGATGCAAGGGTTATCTTCTTAATTCGGTTAGGTCTGAGGCAACAGGATTTGGATTTGTTCAGGCTGGAAATTTGAATTGGTTCTTTAGTTCTAACAATTTTGTTACTTTTACGATTATTGTATAATCTACTTATTGGGAACTCGATATTTTGATGATATGATAATCTGAACATGTGAATTCGTAACTTTGATAATCCGAGCCTCGATTACCTTTATTTGTACCTTCGCACATTTGACATTTGCACCTTCGACCTTCGTAACTTTGTAATCTCGAACCTTCGATAATTTGTCTTCGTCGAAATCGACTCGACTTCTGCAGCTTAACAGCTTCGAAAATCTGCCAATAAGTAGATTCATAACACTCCACCACTTCAAACTCCTAATGGGTTTGTTTCGGACCCAGGAAAGCGTGCACTTCTGTTGCGTGACCTCCTCCTCGGCCGGTTCACCAGCCAAAACGACGTCGAAGCTGAGAACCTCGAGCCAGGACTCGGAAACCTTCCATGGGTCTCAAGCGTCACGGACGAAGAAGCCAGGTGGGTCACAACGGCTTGCCAAAATAAAGCTCCCGGAGCAGACGCGATTTCTGTACGGCTTCTTAGGACGGCCTGGCCGTCAATTAGTCACGCAGTGAGAGTACTCTTTGAGGGCTCACTTCGACTGAACGACTTCCCGAAGGTATTCAAGCTAGCGGAAGTAATTATTCTCCCCAAACCTGGCCGTAATCTCAGTACAGCTAAAGAATGGAGACCTATCGCACTGCTATCCTCTCTCGGCAAAGGTCTTGAGAGACTAGTTGCAAGGCAAATGGCTTACACCGCCATTTCGTACAAGGCTGTGCCGCAGCAGCTTTTTGGAGCACTCTTCGGCAGAACCGCTAATGACCTTGTCTCATGCGTCATCCATGATGTGGAGCATGCAATGAATAGGCAGAAGAAAGCAGTCCTTGTCACTCTGGACGTACAGGGGGCATTCGACGCTGTACTACATGGAAGGCTGCTGCAGAGGATGAACAAAGTTGGGTGGCCGAAATCAGCCATCACTTGGATAAAATCTTTCCTGAAAGAACGATCTACCCGCGTCAGACACGAGGACAGAATAACAGACCCAATTCACCTAGAATGCGGGCTGCCACAATGATCACCTTTATCCCCAATTCTCTTCCTCCTCTACATGGCCGAAGTCGTGGGGGGCAGTAGTTGGAGATTTGGCTATGCAGATGATGTTGCCATCCTCGGCATAGGTTCAACTCCAACTGAAGCTGCAGTAGCTGTCCAGCGAGAGGTCGATGCAGTCCTAGAGTGGGCCGCTGATAATGCCGTCTCTTTCGACGCAGATAAAGCCGAAGTAGTCTACTTCGTCGGCCCCAGATCCGGGGGTCACGATCTTCCGGCTATAAGGGTAGGCACTCGCGATGTACAAGCATCCGAAGATATCCGATGGCTCGGAGTACACTTTGGTCGTGATCTGACCTTCGAAAGCCACGTCGCAAAGTGGACCAGCAAATCAATGCGGCTAGTGCAACACTTCCGGCGACTCACTCACGTTCTCATGGACCAAGACCCGACTTACTAACCACAGTGATCCGCACGGTAGTTCTGCCAATTGCGATGCACACAGCGGAATCCTGGTACCCGGGGCCAACCAGGGAAACGTATCGGGGTGTCGCGCGAAATTCGTGCAAGAGACAGCGCAAAATTAGTGACCAAACTTCTGCCTTAGGAAT